TCTGTTGGCGAGTAGAGGATTTGAACCGTTCCATAGCCACGTTAGCTTTTGGAATAAAGTATTCACTGAACTTTTTTAACACATTTTCTAATTTTACTTCTTCTATATCCATGTTAATTGAATTAAAAATGTCAATACAATCTGCCCCCAAGTGGTGCAGTAAAAGTGCAACTTTGCGACGTTCTTCTAAATTCGTTGCAAGAATAAAAATATGGAACTGCTTGCTCCAACTTTTCCATTCTTGAGCCAGATTAGTTGACCTTATATTTAACGGCGGTAGCGTTGTAGCAAAAATTTGACTATTTCCACTCATTTTATTATGTTTAATTTCTTTTTCTATTTCTTTTTCATCACCTGACACCATGTTATATCTTATATAACCAACTGAGTTTATATATCTAAGTAAAACGATAGGTCTTTTACTTATGACAGCCTGACTTCGACTGACTCTCTATTTATTCAAGATGCATTACAACTAATAATTACAGAGTTGTAATTATACTACTTAATTATACAACAATGTAAACTTAGCCTTTACAAGTTTTTATTTAATATATTTAATAATCAGTTTTATTTAGTTTTTATTAACACGTTTAATAATTTAACTTTGTTTGATCACTAATTATTTGTATGACAATAGTTTTACAATTCAATTTTATTTAACTTCATCATAATTTTATGTTATTACCGACTTTATTAATGATTACTTTTAATATTGATATAAAATTTTGTTTTAATTAGTTTCACTATTCTTTAGTTTTCAACTGTTCCTTGTTTTTCATAAATTTTAAATAATAAATGTATTTATATTATTTAAAACTCTTTTGTGATGTTTATATGTTCCATTAATTCACTGCTTTTAACTACTATTAACTCCAGAGGTCAATGGCTCTACAGAGCTCAACTACTACTGATTTCTAAACTACAGCTTACAAAACTTACCTCAATTTAATTATTATTCAATAGTTTTTGCGTATTCGCAATTTAATTATTATTCAATAGTTTTTGCGTATTCGCAAAAACGTCAAAATTTTAAATTGCACTTTATATCATAGCAACTTTTAATTGTCTTATTTTTAATGTCGCTTTCAGCTTGACACAATTAACAAATATTAATAGAAAATCAATAATCAGCATTTCCTACCGTCAAGCTGACGAGCTGACATTGGCTTCTGTTATTTTGCAAGCCGCAAACGACGCTGCCTACTTTTAGGCATGCCTTATGATTGAATAAATAAACCAATAATGTTATTCATAGTTTGGGCGAATATTTAGAAACACATAAAGCATTTACCTGAGCCTTTCGATTCACAACATTGCTATTCTTCGGACTATTTTTTACGTATACTGGCAATGTCTTGGTATACCCATTTACACTCTAAAGTATACATTGCATACGCTTCACAAATGGTCGTTCGCTATCGCTGAGTCCCAATAAATAATTAAATAGTTGACTCAAGTTAAATGTAAGCGTTTTTTATTGCTCTTAGTTTTATTAAACAGAAACACACAAATTTCTCTAAACATAAAAATCCAGTACAATAATTTTCTAAACTAATATAAACTGACATTCTTAGAAAACTATTTTTAAGATTACTGTACGCTACTTGGTGCTAACCCAGATCCTTAATCTGTGTTAGCTTGGTAGCCAATTTTTATGTGTAAAGTAGTTTGAGCACTTGTAACCCAAACTACTTGTATTTTCTATGTTGATTAGTTTAAGCACTTGAAACCCAAACTAATCGATGCGAGAAAGTAAGAAAGTTATAATTAATTTTTCTTTTCCTTCTGAACTTTATTAAAATTATTTCTTATATTTATACAAAAATTATTTTATAAAAAAGCTATTAAATTATGCATTAATTAACAATAAATATTAATGCATAATTCACAAATAAATAAATTTGACTACGCTGTGCTGACATAATTATAGGCCAACATATTACACACTTTCTTCAGTACATTGACCAACAAGAAAAGCTGATAATGCAAAATTGCACTTTTCGTTGGTCAATGACTGGTCGCAGTGTTGGCCCAAATAATATGTAAACACATGTAACCAAATAACAAAAAAAAACAAAAATATTAAATAATATTAATTAAATGCAAACATAAACATTTTCCCCGCCGTTGAGTGCCAACTCAACTTATCCTAAGTTGTGGTCACAGTGAAGTCCAAATTTTGTTGACGTAATTCTGCATTCTGCATATCATTTCCTCGTGTTGAAATTTCGCTTATTGTGTGTTTCTGACATATGTTATGTTTAGTTTTCCAAGTAATGATTATTATGATTGTTATAGAAATTAACAACGCCAAATAACTTATCGTATGATGATGAATACTGTTTAATCGCACTCTAGAGGGAAGATATGTCAAGTTTTCCTTAGTTAGCCGGTCTTGCAATTCTGTGAGTTCTTTGAGTTGTGTTTTTACATCATTTGGTGTTGTATTGAAGATTTTCTGCATCTCATTAATGTGTACAACTGTTGATAAATTTCCAAATCGTGGAAATGACGTGGACACAATGCTGGAGATAAAATAGTGGCCATGTATGGTTATTTCTGCGTTTTTAATGATGCACGTAGGCCCAAATGTAAGCATTCCGGATCCTATCAGTGAGAACTGACTCAAGTAGGTCTCACAACTAGCTGACATCAATGTTTCAAGTTTTGTTGCGTATAGCCACTGGTTCGGGTTGTGTAGTTGTTTCAATGCAATATTTCCTTGAAGTTTTATTATATTGCATGTTGTTGACTGATTACAATTAAATAGATTGATTTCACATGAATGTACCGATGATGCTATACCTAGTCTTGTTTGTTTATTAGCGCAAAGGTATATATTATCCTTGGTTAAAAAACATTCCCGTAACTCATGGTCATCAAATGGAATGTACTGATCTCGAACAGTATTGGTTGCCAAGTACTCCACTTGAGTTTTGATAATTATCATGGTTTTGTTTATTACAACCGGTATCGGTGTTGTCTTCAATTCAAATTCAAAACAATTCAAATTGCTGCTTGTCTAGCAGTGGTAGTTGTATTAAAAATAATACATGCTGATTTTTAATTGTTGACTTCACTTTCATTAGCTTGTAAAAATCGGTCAAATTGTCTTCTGTGAACGGTAGTGTACGCGATGATGGTAAGTGGCCTTTGATTCTGTTAATTTCCTTTGTTAATTGATCAGGAGTTAATAGCAGTGGACTGATTTTCCCATGATGTGTATCTGTAAGCACATCAATTATCTCCGACTGGATGTGTTGAAGATTGGATGCCATTAATGTGAGTTCTGCAGATAATGAAAGTAGTAATTGAGTGACATGTATTTGTTCTATTGTAGTTCCAATTCTGTTCAGAAACTCATCAACCTGCTTTTGCAAATGATTCATTCGGGACTGCATGGTAACTTCATCTCGTTTGATTATATTTATGTGGAATCTATAATAGATGTTTGATTATGAATTAACTGCATTGCATAATCATCTCTACTGTTAAGTTGATTTATTGTGTCAGATATGCTCTCAGCGTAGTCTGAATCAAGCACTCCGAATAAGGTGTGTGCAATATTTCCTACTATGTTAATTGCAGCTCGCTTGTTCCGGCTTTTATATAATAATGTTTGGTCTTGCAACAATTCATCTCTTACATGTTTAAAATGAGTATAGAGAGAAGTACATGCTGTATGTGCTTGCAATTCTGAACATAAACGTTTAATAGTTTTAGTCCCGTTTTTGAAGGAGTCCATTTCGGTCCAATATGGATGAAGATCATAGTAAACAATCATTTTCCATTCTGTCGTTGCTACTTTCATCAAGCCAATGGATTCAAAGTATATTCCTAAATTATTGTCGAAAAGTGTTACATTCACTGAATTCCCTAATACCAATGGCAGGAATAATAGAGATAATAACATTGTGCATAGTAATGAATTAGACATTGGCCGTGAATACTTTTTAGGTGGCTCGTCTTGATCTGCGCCTTCGTGTGGTGTTTTCGAATTCGCTTTTGTAAAACTTTTTGAAAGTTGTTCATCAGAAACAGGAGATTGTTCATCGGCTGGAAACAGAGGCGCTAGTCTTGTCAAAGGACGTCTTAGAGTTCCTGATGCCATTCTAACATCGACCACGCGAACAAGACCGTCATCTCCCTTATATACCTTTGCAATACGTCCAAGCGGCCATTTTAATGTAGGAACATTATCTTCCTTGATGATTACAAGGGTGCCTTCTTTTATATTTGGATTGGCTGCTTTCCATTTGTGTCGACATTGTAGTTCAGTGAGGTACTCGGTTTTCCAACGTTCCCAAAAGTCCAATTTGAGGCGAGAAACTAATTTCCACCTTGTCACCAGATTTATATTTCCTGATTGGGCCTTTGCATCTGCCATTGCTGTGAGTGGTTCTCCGATTAAGAAATGACTAGGTGTTAGTGCTGACAAGTCATTCGGATTACTCGACATAGGTGTCAATGGTCGAGAGTTCATATTGCTTCGACTTCTAATACCACAGCTCTAGTTCCTCATATGTTAGTGAATCGTCTTAGTATTCGTATCAATAAGTGTTTTGCTGATTTGACTGCTGCTTCCCACAGTCCACCGAAGTGCGGTGCACGAGGAGGTATAAATTTAAATGTTATTCCTCTTTCATTACACGTTAATTATCTTCTCTTGTGCCTTCTTGTTTGAATTGAGTGCAAGTTCAAGTATTGATTGCTTGCTCCCACGAAATTTGTGGCATTGTCCAAAAAAATTTTTGCATGTCCTCTTCGAGCATAAAACGTTTCACAATCCATGAATGCATCTGGGTTAAATCGCTAACTACTTCGAAATGAACTGCCTTAGTTGTAAAACAACAGTACACAGCAATGTATGCCTTGTGTGGTTTCTTGCCTCGGATTCTGTAATGTATCCAAAAGGGTCCGCAAAAGTCCACGCCAGTGGTGAGGAATGGTCGCCCAGGTTGTACTCTTGTCGCTGGCAAATTACCCATCAGTTGTTCTTAAAATCGTGATCTTACTTTAGTACAACGTACACAATGTTGTACTACTGACCTTACCATCAATTTGCCCTTAATTGGCCAGTATCGTTGACGCATGTTAGCTAGGAGAGACTGCGGACCACAGTGCATGTATTTCTTATGGATTTGTTCCATTACTAATTTGACAATGGGGTCGTTATAAGGCAACAACATAGGATATTTGGCATCATACGATAATGAGGCTGCATCCAAACGTCCACCAACTCTTATGATACCCGTATTATCAATAAAATGTGCCAGTGATACCAATGCACTGGACTTATTTATTCTTCCATCAGATTTCATAATTTTGATTTCATTTTTAAATTCTGCATATTGAATACTTTTGATGATGACCTGATGTGCTGCATCTAGATCATCTGGAGTCAAAAAATTGCTTGAATGATCATTTTGTTTTCTTCTGGTTCTTTTTACGAATCTTAATATATACGATAATATCCGTTGAAGTCTTCCAAATGAGTTGTTGTGTCGTATTGAGTATATGAACTCTCCAGGATTGGCTGTGCCTTCAACAACAGACAATGTAGATACTTGAGTTTCCTTCTTCCGTTCAGGATCAATGAGGGTTTCAGATTTTAACGCTGATGATGGTTTTGAAGGCCATAGTTCTTCCCGACCATGCAGGAACATAGGTCCATAAAACCACATACTTGATGACTGTAGTTTATGGGGTGCAAGGCCTCTTGATAAAATGTCAGCTGGATTGTGTTCCGAACTGACGTGGCGCCACTGACTTGTGGCTGTTAATTGATGAATGTTGCTTACTCTGTTTGCAACGAAAGTGTGAAACTTTGATGATGGAGAGTTGATCCATGATATCACTATTTGTGAATCACACCAAAAGAACGTCTGGTAATTTCTTATTTGTAGATCGTTCTTTATTCTTGTTGCTAGTTCTGCACTAACCACAGCTGCACAAAGTTCGAGACGAGGTAATGTCAACCTTTTCAAAGGTGCAACCCGAGATTTGGCGCACAATAGTCGTACAATAATTTGACCATTCTGAAGTGTTGATCGCAAATACGCTGCAGCACCATATGCCTTTTCTGATGCATCTGTAAAGATGTGTAATTGAATGTTGGCAGGAACTTCGCCTTTGAAAATATGACGAGATATCTGCAGACAATTTACTTTTGTCAAATTGTTCCGGAACTCTAACCACTGTTTATGTAATTCAGTCGGCAGTTTTTCATCCCAATCCATCTTTAAATTCCATAATTCTTGAATAAAGATCTTTGCCATCACCACAACTGGTGACAAAAGTCCTAGTGGATCAAATAGCCTTGCTAAATCTGAGGTTGCACTGCGCTTCGTCGTGCTGCAAACAGGTTCCAATTTAACCTTGACGCATAAACTATCAGATTTTGGACACCAGGATAATCCAAGAGTTTTTGTTGTATCGTTATTATTTTCTAAATCTAAATTGACTTCTAGGTCATCGTGTGGAATTCCTTGTAGTAAACTTGGATGATTTGCGCACCATTTTCGCAATTTAAAACCGCTTGCTGTCAGTATTTTGTTTAATTGACTCTGAGTTTCCAACAATGTTCTCAGACTATCTGCCCCGTGTAAACAGTCATCTACATAGAAGTTTTGTTTGAGAGCAGATGCACCTAATGGATAATTTTGCATATTGTCATCAGCTAAAGCTTGCAAACATTTGGTTGCTAGATACGGTGCTGATCTAGTACCATATGTTACTGTGTTGAGTTCAAAGTACTTTATCGGATGACTTGGTTCATTTCTCCAAACGATAAGCTGACATTGTCTGTCTTCTGGGTGTACAAGTATTTGTCGGTACATCTTTTCAACGTCTGTTGTAAACACATAACGAGGAAGACGGAATCGTAATAAAATAGATAGTAATTCACTTTGAACAGTTGGTCCGATGTGTAGTAAATCATTGAGAGATTGCCCTGATGTTGTTTTGGATGATGCATCAAATACCACACGTAACTTAGTGGTAGTACTGTCGGGTTTAAGCACACAATGGTGTGGTATAAAGTAATGTGATGACATAATCCTTTCAATATCTATTTCGGTCATATGTCCCAATTTTTCATATTCATCTAAAAACTCTACGTATTGTCGTTTGAGGTGACTATCCTTTGAAAGTCTACGCTATAGTGCTAGAAATCTATTTGTAGCAATGTCTTTCGAATCTCCCAAAGCGAATCTGTCATTTATAAAAGGAAGACGCACGATGAATCGTCCCGTAACATTCTGATATGTAGTTTAAGTGAATTGAGCTTCACATTGTTGCTCTGCTATTGACAAGACCTTTGAGTGAGTATCAACTTCTTCAACCCTCCAGAGTTGTTCTATTGCATTTTCTAAACTATCTTCTGATGATATTCCACATGTTGCAATCATTGTGTTAGCATTTTGGATTTTTCCAGATACGATCCATCCGAGCACAGTGTTCTGTAGAATTGGTAGTTCCCTTGAAAGTTGTATTTGACCAGGACTTAGGAGTTGATGATAAAATTCTGCTCCAAGCAACATATCAATTTTGTCAGACTTATGGAATGTGGGATCTGCTAATTGGATGTTATTGGGCAGATTCCAATTTGAAATTTGTAAGTGTTGCGATGGTTGATTGGATACAATTTTTGGCAACACAAATGCTTCAAGTATTGCTTTGTAATCGGTCACTTTTGATTGCACAGAAAGTGTTGTACGACTTTTAGAACTCAATTTACCTATCCCTATGCCTTCGATGCAAATCGAACTGGAGCTTACTTGCAGCCCCAATCTGGATGCCAGTCGTTCAGTCACAATATTTATTTGTGAACCTGAATCCAATACTGCTCTGCACTCGACTGTTCTTCCATTAGAGTTGGAGGCTAAAAGTTGTGCAGTTCCCAAAAGAACGCAACTGGTATGACCATGATTGATGGATGACATTAGAGTTGTTTGTGCAAGTGGCCTTGAAGTGTTTTCAACTAACTTATGATTTGATGGTTGAACTGGGTGTCTATTTTGATGCAATAGTGTATTATGTCTTCTTTGGCATATAGTACAACCCCTGCTGGAGCATTGTAATGCCATATGACCAGGTTTCATGCAGTTTGTGCACAATTTATGACGTTTTAGTAAATCGTACTTCTGTTGTATGGATTTACGTTTGAAAATTTCACATGAAAATAATTGATGACTACTATTGCAAGTAATACATTTTGATCCTGAGTCTGTAGCTGCAAGTGCTACTGCTGGATGTCGTGGTTTGTGACTTTGTTTGTGGTTTTCATTCGTCATTGATTCGAATGCCTGAAATCTTCCTTCTAGGAACCGCAATAATTCTTTTAATGAAATTATTCTTCGGCTGTCTTCTAACGATTGCTCGAATGCCGTATGTGAAGCTTTGTCTAGCTTTCTAATAATTACGTGAACCATTATGGCGTCCCAAGATTTAACATCAATACCTTGAGCTGCTAATCCATAATAACATTCTTTTGTAACATCATGTATGCCCTTAAGACTGCTTGCTGATTCAATTGTTATATTTGGTTGTGATAACAATTTATTTAGTAATTCTGTCACCAAGAGTCGTTTGTTGTCATACCGATTTGACAGAATATCCCAAGCTATATTGTAATTTTGCTCGGAAATTTGCAGATGCCGTATGAGGGCTTTCGGCTCACCCGCCAATTTTGTAGATAGATGGAACATTTTGTGGGCTGCGCTTATTAATTGATCATGGATCAATTGTTGAAACAAATCTCTAAACTCAATCCATTTCAAATAGTCTCCATCAAATGTTGGCAAAACTATTTTTGGAAGTCTGATTTGTTGAGTTGCTGCAGGCCCCTCTGACGTCAATCCTTCAGTTGGTTGACTGTGTTGTTTTAAATATATTAACGCGTTTTGGGCATCTTTATCCGTTGAATAAATTTGATCCCAAGTATATCCGACGATGTCTTCTGCGTCAGCTGATGACCATATTTCATCATTGTTACCCTCAGATCCTTCTGATATTTTTCTATCAGAGAATATTTCAGATCATAATAACTAGGATGATGTTTTATGGTAATTTCCTCATAAATTTTATCTATGCTTGCGCGTAATGCATGCATTAATGAGGATTGCTTTTTGATGTTTCGCATGAGCGATGTAGCTTTGTTTGACCCTCTTGGGCTTACTACTGGCTTCCCGTTCTGTGGTTTTGGGATTAGCCTTGATTTCTCCAACTTGAATCGTTCATCATATTTGATTGATGCTTTGATTTCAGCATCATTTATTTCAAAATCATTCAATAGGAAATGTAGCTTTTTTAGTCGTTCTTCATAGTAAATGGAATCCTGCTTGCAGGTACTAGAATCCTTTTTGAAATTGGTTATCAGTCGCTCAATCTCTGTACCGAGCTCTGACTGCTTCTTTAATAACGCATCCATGGCGATGTTTGAATTTTCGGTCTGAAAATTCCAATAAATACTTCAGCTGGTTAATGAGTAGACCTTTTGGTGTGTCCTTTTGTAGGTAATTGACTCCTTCGATATGTATTTCGTCAGGATAATGAAATAAAAATTGATATTATATCAATAATCACGTCGGGGTCACCAAAAAATGTACGCTACTTGGTGCTAACCCAGATCCTTAATCTGTGTTAGCTTGGTAGCCAATTTTTATGTGTAAAGTAGTTTGAGCACTTGTAACCCAAACTACTTGTATTTTCTATGTTGATAAGTTTGAGCACTTGAAACCCAAACTAATCGATGCGAGAAAGTAAGAAAGTTATAATTGATTTTTCTTTTCCTTCTGAACTTTATTAAAATTATTTCT